CACTGTGACCTCTGGGCAAGTGGCTTCCCAGAGGCATTCACAGATGACGGCTAGAGGCAGGATCTGCTGCAGCATAACTGTTAGATGTGTGAGAAGTGGGATTGCAAGAAACTGACTTGTAAACAGAGATAATTCTGTGGTGAGCTGTTCTGCTCAGAGAAATCTCTTAAACAGTAAGGTAAAGGCTCCATGTAATAAAAGGAAAGAAAGAGGAAGAAACTTGAGTATATCCCTCTTCTTTCGCTGTCACATGTTACCAAAGGTAGTTGAGAGAGACTGTATCCTCCATGGACTGCACTTAGGGCAGGGGAGCCCCAGTTCTGTCTGCTGAGGCAATTCAGATTAAACAATGCAGTATTAAGAATGAAATGCCATAGACAATGCCATGGAATGTGTAGTATGTTAGTATAATGTCCTGGTCCTGCTTTATCCTACCATGTTATAAAGGATGAGGATAAAAATGAACTTAAACTCACCTAGTCCAGAAGAATCTTTCCATTTCTTTCTGAGTCCTGAGGAATAGGAAGGCCTCCCAACCATCTCGCTTTCCTTTTTTATTTGGCCTGATCACTCCCACCAACACATCATTCATGTGTTGGATCAAGAAGGAAATTTAAGTTACAATTCCTTATCTTACTTCTTTGCTTTCTGCTACAGCACTACCTTTCCCTTGTGTTAAAGGGGACAGTTACACCTTTATGGGTGGAGACCAGTAAGATTGAGAGACCAAGAATGAGAGGGGAGGCATAGAACTAGTTTTCATTTTCCACATCACCAGAAACAAACTATGAGGTTATGCTGCCTCCAGTTATAGGCACTGGGGTTGCATGTAACCCTTCATCAAGAAATATGTTAGATTAGAAAGTAATAACATTATTTTTACTAATTTATTCCATATGTCTACTTGATAGACAAAGGGAATATTTTTTTACCTTCTGTATTTACCTTTTTTTTGAGCTATTCTCTGGAAATTAAGTAAATTTATGTACAAATCACAGCTCTGACAAAACTAAAGATCAGCTGTACTTTCATAACTTCTCCAGGTAAGTTTTCATGTGGCATGTCACATAGATGCTGTGGTTTTCATACAACTCTCCTGATACATTATTTTAAATTTAATATTTTAGGATATTCTAACTGCAGGGAAAGCTTGATGTTTGTAATGTATTGTACTGGACAAGCACTTTTTGGCTGCACTACTTTCAAGTCTGCCTGCCTAAAATTTGTTGAGGCAATAGAAAATATTCAGTGCATTAAGCATTTAAAACAAAATGGATTCAGTTACAGCAGCATGTAAAGTGTTTTGGTACTAACTGTAACTGATGTACAAACATTTCACCTCCAAGTAGGTTTGTGGGAAGCAGTGGCAGAAATAAAATATATCAGGAGACACAAAGGAGAGTGAAATAAAAAGGAGACAACTTTACATGTTTTGACTCCTTTGTCCTGAATTTCCTAAGCCCATATTGATGTCATTCTGGAAGAGGAAGAAGGCTGGCTATGTTTCTCCCAGCAAGCAAAGCCTCCCCAGTGGCTAAAATAGGGTATACTGTGGAGTGTCTATGAGAGCTATGGGGGAATAACGACAGCAGAAAGCTAGCTCTTGACAAGCCGTTATTAGGGCCGTCTGCAGGTCCTTTATGCTCAGCTGCACCTCCTTGGCCTTATGTTACAAATTCCACCTGGGAGATAACACAGATAACACCTCTTGCTTCTCATTGGGCTCCTTGATTGCTTCATCCTGCAGTCACCAATTTTTAACATCAGGGCTCAAACTGGGAGGCTGTGGTGCTGCTCTGACAGCGGACCTGCCCTTCTCCTAACCACCTTATCCTTACAGTTCAGCCACTTCCACCTGGAGCTGCCACAGCCACCACCATTTCCCCCCTGAAGCTGATGGATTTAGCAGTAGGTTAGTAGCAGACAGCATGAGTATTCTCTGGCCCTGGGTCAGTTTTGCTCAAGACAGATTTAGTCTGCCCTTTGCCAAGTGGGTGCACATCTCAATCTGTCCTTCCAAAGATAACAGAACTTCAGGCATGTTTGGTTTGCTTTCTTTGAGAGCTGTCATTTGGTTGCCTGTAACATTAATAGAGCTGGAATATAAACCATACTGAATGTAAACCATTTGGGCTTCAGTGTGCTGAGCAGATATCCACATAGGAGAAGGGCAATTAAATCCTCTTGCATTACAACCCTATAGAATAAGGCCCTGGCTTAGGTCTTACACATGTGGGAATTTTCTCTGGTGAAGCCTGATGAATCGTTGTTCTGGTTGCCAATAATATGGATAAATAAAAGGCTTAACAGTAAGAAGGAAGGAAAACAAAGATATACACCTGTCAAACTGTTTGTATTATTAATGTGCAAGTGAAAAAGCATTACACTTGTGTCTGCTGTTGCCCTTAATACCAGCCGTTGCCTGTGCACATGGATTGGCATTTTACATTGGCTCAACAGCCTTGCTGCCAGCAAGCACGCTAACTGGCAACGTTGGTAACAGCAGTCTTCCCATACTCCATACAATTTGAGCTATTCTTCAAATTAATAATAATACTTAATAAAGCTTCATCTCTCATTTGCAAAGGAAACCTTCAATTAATGTTAATCAGCGTCCTCAGAATGTGATCAGACTGGGCTTGTAGCTGGACGTGCCGAAACAGCTCAACTGGCAGATGTAGCATTTTCCAACTATTCTAATTAATAACTGCTCATTTAAAATGTTAATGCAATTAAATAAATAGGCAAAACAAATAAAAATAATATACATTATGAAAACGACACTGTCAGAGAATGTTCAAATCAAAAAAGTGAGCCTCGCTCAAACCTAAAAAGGGCCCAACCATTGCTTCTTTGCTAAATAAGGTCTAAAAAAGACAGGACTTGCTTTTGTTACTTGCAGTTTCCAACCGTTTCTCTGGGATCAACATTTATCTCACTTCTGTTTGAACCTGCTGGTATCAGCTGTGTCATTGCTTCTCCAAGTATTAGAATATTTTTCTGCAGAAAATGGGAAAGGATTTCTTTCATGTATTATGGGTGCTTTTTTTATGCAAGGTTTAGACTGCCTCTGCTTCTTGTCTTTTGTATTTGAACTAATTGCCTGATTTTTTTTGTAAGGGTTCTATTTTCTGTGAACCTTGTATACCATAGCACTGATGCAGAACCACATTTGTTTGGGCTTATAAAGAGTTCAATTAGACCCTTAATACCTAGTTCAGTCACAATTAAACCTTCCCTGTTGATTCGGGATTGGTCTTTCTAAAGGCAGTGAAGGTGTTTTTAATTATTCATTCTCTGGTTTATTTCTTACAGCAGTCTCAGCTGTGCTTTATCATTCAAAGGTTAATGCAAACTGAGAACTGGGTAAATTAAATTTGTTTGGCAGCTCACAACCTGATGTATTATAGACGCTGTGGAATATGGATAGCAACACTTCTGCTATTGTGACACTTAAAAAGGCATTTTTTATCTTTAAAACAGTTGCTATTTTGTTACTATGGCTGATAGAAAATGAAAGTTCCATAATGTTATATTCTCTGTAACCTATTTTTGTTAAGAAGCCACATAGTTTAGTAAGCCAAGCAGCATTAACAGCTACTATAGAAAATTGATGTAGGTGCTATGACTAATGAAGTACACTGCGCAGCACTGTCATGCAGTTGTATGCAGAGAATCATGCAGTCAGAAGTTTTAATGAAGGGAGCCCAAGGAATTTCAGGTGAAAGAGGGTTTTATTAACTTTCAGTGAAAAAAATGAATAGTTAAGCAGTAAGCATGACATGATGTCGTATAATAATTGGGTACATTGTGAGGCATGGAGCATAGCCAAGAGCTTTCATCTGTTCTGCACATAGGGTTATTTCACAAACCCCTGTCTGCTGTGGAAATCTTTATTGCAAACATAGTAAGAATTGTTTCACAAGAAATGCCTTAAGACAATACCACATCAGTTATTTGAAATACACACCAGCACCAACTTCCTCTCAAAAATATTAATCAGGTATCTAGAAGTTACCATCCTGATTGATCCTAAGTATAATTCATCTGTTGGTGACTGATATCAGCAGGCTATGTACTGAAAAAAAGCCTTCATATTTCTTAAGAGGCCATGCTGAGTAACATATGTACTTCTATAGACAGGCGTTATGTTGTATGAAAGGAGGCTGTGTTGGCTTTTGGACGAGTCATGCTCAAGAACTTTTATTAGGTTTTAATTATTTTTTTTCTCAGGAATGGACCATTTGGGTGAGAGATTTTTCTTGTTTCACATACAGGATTATGTCTTGTGATATCTTGTAATATTGTTTCAGTACTGTGTTTTTAAACAAGGACATTGAATTTAATGGATGAAGTAGCTGATCTCCAGAGTTCCCTTCCAACCCTAACAATTCTGTGAATCTGTAACATCTCAACCTGCTTCCTCTTTATAATATTTTTCAGATAGGGTAACATTTGCAGAGAAAAGTACTTAGAAAGTACATCTGCAAGGTTGTTTGGACCCTGCTCAGTCTTTAGTACAGTCTGTGCTGTATAATAATGTGTGTAATTACACTGCTACTGACTGATGAAGTAGGTGGATGAAGAGGTAGGTGAAAATAGGATGGCTTCTGAGGCAGGACGGTCACAAGACATCTCAGCAAAGTCTCTGTTATCCTTGCACTGTAAATACTTTACATCTGCCTACTGAAATATTTGAGATGATTCAGTTGGGAATTTTTCTGTGCTTATTTGAATAATTTATAATGTAATTTTAATACTTCTTCCTGGCTGAATATATCACTTCACTGATAGAGCTTAGGACACCAGTTACATGTTTTATCAAGGGCTAACTTAATAAATGTGATACACAATTTTAACTTGTAGTGATAAAAAATACACACTTCTAACTTGCAAAACCAGTGGTACTACCAGTAGAGTATAATTGATGGATGTATGTAGTTATTATGTTATATTGATTGTATGTAGTTATTATGTTATATTTTTGTTTTCTATTGTAGTGCTGGACCCAAAGGAGACAACATTTATGAATGGAGGTCAACTATACTGGGGCCTCCAGGGTCTGTATATGAAGGTGGAGTTTTCTTCCTTGACATTACCTTTTCACCGGACTATCCTTTTAAACCACCGAAGGTTAGTAGGAGGATATCAGAAGTCTGATAGGAGTCCTCTCTTCGTGATATTTCTGTGTGTGTGGATGTTGGTGTATCATTGTAGGATGAAACATAAAACTTTCAAGGCAATAATGAATATTTAAACTGAGCATTTTGATGGAAAGAATTTAAATAACTGCCTAAAATTTGCCTGTCTGTTGCCAGTTTAGCTGGATGGGTATGCATTTATTTAGCAAATGGTTATATAATTTCCAGCAGTTATTTATTTGATTTGGATTTGTTGCTAATGTGAAAGCATTTGTATTTGAGTTGCACCCTATGTAAGCAGCTGAAGATACTTGATCTTTCCTGTTGACCCATATCATTCACCAGGGGTCTGTGGCATTCTGACAAAAATATGCACCTTTTGCACTACTTCATATAAATTACTTCTGCAGATGCAAGATACACTATTATTCATGATCATTGTCTTACATCAGTTTACTGGAAGAATGTGGAAATATGGCAGCATGGGCAAGAAACCAGAGTGAAAGACATGAGATTTACAGAATTCCTTACAGATTGGTTTCTAACGAACGCTGTTAATAATGACACTAATCACAGACATAGAACTGTATCAATATGATGATGGCATAGCCATGATTGAGTATGCTCAGAATATCAAACAGGAAAATCTGGAAGACTAGAAAAACAGAAATGGGATTAAATGTGGTAGTGCAGAGTGTTACTGATAACCAGTAGTAATAATTATGAGGGGGAAGGTGGGAGCGTGTCAAAACTGGGCTTTACTGGGGGGTCACAGGATTATTTCAAACCAACTATCTAATGCATCTATAAAGAAGGCACATTCGTAAAATACATCCTCTGGCATTGCCTGTAGAGATGAGGAATTACCAATGTCTTATACGTGACACTTGTAAAACATTATCTGGAAGACAGAGTGCAATTCTTAACACACATATTCACTAACAGGAACAGAAACTGGGAAAATTTACCCTTGGCAGGGCTTTTAATAGAATCAAATAAATTGATGGGCCTGTCTTTCATGAAACAAAGTGAAAAGCAGTGAATTGTTAACCTTGCCAGCATGGAGAGTGAGGGCCTGGAACAGCTCCACTGAAGGAGCTATGGGTGCAAAAAATATTTACCTACTTTTTAACACATTTTTGAAAGGGTTGCTATGCCACACCGGTCCTAATAGAAGGGTATTGCATTAAAACAGAGAATAGTTTATCCTGATTTGATTACCAAGAGTACACTGTTGAAAGAGAAGTGTTTATAAACAGAACTGTAATGCCACTGTAGTAATATCTGTAGTAGTTAGCATTGATATTATCAGGAAAAGTTTTAAAAAAGAGAGATGTGAATTCAAAGTAGGTACTTGTCATTCCTTAAGTTGGACTTTCCCAGCCAGTGACCTAAACATTGGTTAGTAAAGCAGTATTTGAGATGGTCTAACTTTGTTAACTTTTAGTGTTCCAGTTTAGGGAAGCTTAGAGTCTTACAGGGGTTGTAGACCGTGTTGACTGCACATTTTCTGATTTAGGTAACTGTGATTACACAGTGAAGAAAGACATGGAAACATTTTAACTTTTCCTTCAGTTAGTTAAAGCTTTGGGCATACTGAGCTGGGGCAATGCACTATTCTTCCTTCCTCCCTCCCAGCCCAAGACAGTCCAGGCTTCTCACTAACTATACAAGGTCTGTCTTAACAGGTCCATTTTGTTTACCTCTTTGCTGGTCTTATTTTGTTTGTAGTAGCTGTAATGCAAGGGTTGCAAATTAAAATTATGTTATTAATTCTAGGGGATATTGGCATATGCACTATATTGATTATTGGGTATAAAATAGAGTGTGGTCCAAATCTAATATGTAAAGAACTAGATCTGAAAGACAAGTTGGAGGGATACATTTTGTCGTTCTCTCTGTTGAATCTGTTGAGTGTTGAGGCAATATACACAATAGGCATCCTTTGAAAATAGAAGGTGAAAGTCCACTGTTTCACTGTGAGGTGAGGATTTTGTTAGTCCACACTCAGTTGTGTTTGGCGACTGTTATTTTGAGACATGAGTAATGCAACTGTGCATTACTTATTAATGAAATATCAAGCAAAGAGGAGGTTCTTCTGCTTTGTAATAGATTTTATTTGTCTGCCTTTATCTTGATGCCAATTGTCATTGTAAGAAATGTGTCCATATAAATCATATGAAAATGTACTGCTTGATAAAGGATGAGAGAGTTGATGATGGCATATTGTATTACTAAAACACCAGTATTTGTGATGAGGGAAATTGTTATCTGCAAGAAAGTAATGAGTACATGAGCACAGGGGACTAATGTCAGATAGAACTGAATGCTGCTAGCATATTTTGTACACATGGATTCTTATTCTATTCACTTCAGCCACTGCTGTAAGTGACCCCTATTTTCAGTCCTGCTGTAGGATCTCTCAAACTGTTGCTATTTCATTACACCTATTTTCCAGACCCTATGATACTGATTCATAGGTAAAATAGTTTGGGGAATCTGTTTAGTAAAGCATCATAGAAAGATGAGTGTCATAAGGTAGCTGCTGCCAGTCGGTATTGTTGAGATACGGTAGTTAAGTATGTTCTCCACATACTCATTTCCAGCAAAACAAAGGTAGTGAGTATGTGGACTGTAATATATGGCCTCACTGTATAGCACTATATGTGTCACTGGATACGGACATTTCTTCTCCACAAAACTTGTGATAAGCAGTGCTGTTCTCAAAATATGTTCATGGGTCCTAGGGTTATGGGAATAGATCATCTTAGATTTTTTTCTAAGAATAGTTCCACTCCTTATGGCTCTATCGTCTTAAAAAGTATAAAGTACAAGACTGTGCAATGTACTGAGAAAGACATAAAATGTATTCCTGAGTGTTGGCAAGATTACCTTCCTGTAAGTACATAGTAGAAAGGGTCCAATTCAGATTTCTGTCTATGATTGAATTTATAAATTACTCCTGAGACTTCTGTGGGCCATTTTCATCACAGTTTTAATATGAAGTAAGGAAACATTTAAATGAGTACTGTCAAAATTGATCTTCCAAAAACATGACCACAGAAGACCTGGGAAGAAGCAGAAACTGTATTTCCCAGATGCAATTACTTGACCCAGCCTGAGGTTCCAAAAGCAAATGCCCCTGTCACATAACATAGTTACTCTTAAAGGGCCTAATCCAAAGTGTATTAAAATCTGCAGAAAGATTTCCACAATTCCTTTTCCTTATTCAGTGTCAGCTGTTGTGCACTCTGCTGTTGTGCATGCATATATTGCACATGGATGTTAGGAAAAGTAAAATAATTTTTAAAACAAGAAAAATATATTGAAAGTAGGTTCTGGATAAGTGTCTTTTATTTTTATTATTATAATTTAAATACATTTATGGTGTATGCATTGTTTGGTTTGTATTATACAAAGTTCTCAGTATTTTCTAAGCAATCCAGGTTCCTTCTATAAATACTGTTCATGCCTATTCTGATCATTAGGAACCTGCTGCATATTGGAAAACATTAATTAAAATAAAGTTAAACATCTGAGAAAGATGTTTGACTTACATTTTGGAGCATTTTTTAACAAATGTATGAAGTAATTTCAATTTGTTCTTCTAGATAGTTAGCCTGCTTCCCACATTGTTTTTATGACATAAAAGACACTGAATCACACACTTGTTTAGGTTTTATTTAAACAGAGAAAAAGTATCCATCCAAAACTTTCATTTTTATGTGTTCAGTTTTTACACCTTTGTAGCCTTCAACATCCTCCTAAGATTTTCAAGTTTTATTTCTATTATTACATCCCCTAATTAAACTGTGTGGTCCAGTTCACATTCCTAGTTTTGTATAGTCAAGCATCACTGCCATCAGGTTGTACCAACTAGTCTTTCCCCTACAGGACCATCGTTATCTTTTTGTCTGTTTTTACCTGTCAGTGTCTCTTTGAAGTTAAACATAATATCAAATTAAGCTATTCTTCACCAAAAGAGAGTATACCATGTGGTAAAGAATATAATTTGCTCTCATGATATTCATTGTTTTCCCCTTTGAAGTCAGTCTGTTTCAGCCTTTCAACTTTGTCTCATGCCTTGAAACTGGAATCCAGATTTTCCAAGCCAGAGGTCGCTGACCCTTTCAGCTCTGCTTTCCTTTTAAATCAATGGCATTTGGCTTCACTCGCAACTGCTGCACTCTCATGCGGAGGAGGGAGTTGTTCTTCCCCGAGACCAGTTTATCTGTGTGTGACTGATGCAGTAGGAGTGATGGAGGGCCCATCCCGCACTAACGCCAATTTATCTCTACCACCAGAAAACACAATCTTTAGAAGAGCTCATCTGAGAACTGACAAATTACCTTTGGCTTTGTGGGAGGCTCTAATCAATTAAAAGTATTTCCTCAGCTCCACTGTGAGGAAGCTTCAAAGGCACTGCAGAAATTAGCTGAGTGCCCAGTTGGCTGAGTCAGCAAGAAAGCGGGCAGCCTGAAGAATCGCTGTTCTCTTTCCAGCTGTGTCCTAAGTACCACATTGTTTTTATGAGATGCCAGACGGGAGGAAGGTATGGAACAAAGTGAGGCATAGGTGTAGGCATAATCTCACCTTCTGCTAAAGGCCAGTTGCTGCTGAAGCTTCAGACTTGGTCACAAGTTGAGGTTTCACTTCAGCCCAAAAATACAGCATCTTCACCTTCCAAGTGAAGTGGGCTGAAGAAAGGAGAAAGCTGTGCCCTGTTCAGAACAGCCACTTAAAGAAATGAATAAAAATACTTAGATGGCCTGCCAAGGAAATAATCTTACATTTCTCCAGTGCCTTAATGACCCCTCAACCTTTTTCAGAAATCCCATTAAGATCTTTTTTTCCTGCTGTCTTCCTTTCATCCTTAATGGACTCAGACAGTTCACCCCTTGGCTTTAACAAAGGAAAGTTCTCTCTTCTCCACTGTCTCTTTCTCTGGGATATTGAATGGGATATATAGCTACACGTAGATAGATGTCTCTT